TAGAGTACATGAAGGTGAGTGATATGAGATAAAGCTGGAAAGATAGAATCCACACAAATTGTAGAGGGCCTTGATTTCCAGGCAAAACAATTAAAATGTTACATGCTGGATAACATGGAAGGGCTGACGATTTCTCAGCAGGGCCATGGCATAATGAGAACTATGAATACATAGACGATTATTTTTTACATAAATGTATTCTTCGTGCTTTTTTAAACATCCCTGTCCCTTCCTGATCTTCTTTCCCCAAAATGAACACCTCCAGTCAAAGAAATATAGTTACATAAAACAAACCAAATGATTGACTATATCTGAGAATGCATGCCTCATCCTGAACTGATGAGGTATGTTTTGCTCTCAAGCCTTTGAGAGTCAGAACTGATCACTTCATTGATCAGAGTTCTGATGACATTATTGTGTAAGTGATCTTTCTTCTGCTTAATTTGTTCTGCAATAGTTGATCATGTATTATAAACATCCTTCCAAATTTCTCTGAATTCCTTGGAGTCATTTCTTATTAAACAACAGTATTCCATTGCATTCATATACCTTAGTTTTTTGAGCCATTCCCTAGATGATGGGGCCAGCCACTTTATTTCCATTTTTTTCTTTTACAAAAAAAGAGCTGTGATAGTAATTTTTTGTATATGTGGTTTCTTTTCCTTGATTTTAGCCCTCTTTAGATTTTATACCCAGAATTGGCATTGCCACAGTTTGGTGCCTTTTCCAGTATAGTTCCATGTCTTTTTTCCAAAATGGTTGGATCAAGTCACAGGCTCAGTCAGTAGCTCATTAGTGTGCCCATCTTCCCACAGGCAGGCCTTCCTAAGCAAGATTATTCAGACAGTGAGTTTGGAAGATACATTGGAAGAGGAAAAGGGTGGAAAGAGAAAAACTTTAAGGAGGCTATGGTCCAGGTGAGTTGGAAGGCAGGCCTTTATTAGGGTGGTGGAAATACAAAAAGGCTGAGATAGTACAGGTGAAAAAGTTCATCTCTTTCATATTTTTCCCTTAAGGCTCTCCCAGTTCCTCTCACCGTATCTGCTAGAGTGCTAAATTAAATGTTATCAAGAGAATCTTTAATCACCATTTTTGTATAAAAAGAAATGGGTAGCTACGTGAAAAAAAAAATCTTAAGAACTGTATCCAGTTCATCAGTCCCCTGCTGTGGATAATTTAGTTGGGGCCATCTAGGGAACAGTATTGTCATTCATATCTCTTCCCCTAACTGCGGGTTCCCCCTCCCCCTCTAAGAATCTCTACTTGGCTCTCTTATTTCTGGACACTCTTTCTTGGTAATCTCATCTTGGTAATAATCATCACGATGACCCTCCAAGGGAGCTCAGGAGCCATCTAGCCTGACGTCATCATTATACAAATGAGGAAACTGAGGCCCAGGGAAGTGAAATGATTTCTCAAGGTCATGTCAGAGGCAGGATTTGAACCCAAGTCCTCTGATTCCAGAAATAGTGTTCTTTCCACTGACTATGCTGTCTCCCTTTTGGGCATTTTGAATTGTCCTCGGGCATCTCAAGCTCTATGTGTCCAAAGCAGAACTCACTATCTTTTCCCTAAAACCACTCCTCTTTTAAATTTCCTCATTTCCTCATTATCCTTACAATTTACAACTTCATTGTCATCCTTGGTTATTTACTGTGCTCTCACCCCACGTATCCAATCTGCTGCCAAATCTTGTCAATTTGATTTATGCAACATCTCCAGCATCTGCCCCCCTTTTTCTATTCGCATGACCACCACGCTAGTGTAGGCCCTTGTCGCCTCTTATGTGGACCGTAACTGTAGTATCCAATTGGTTTTCCAGCATCCTGGACTTTGGGTGAGGACACTTGGCTTTTCTCTTCTGGCCTAGGACTCCAGGCAAATAGTTTAATGAATGTTGAGCATCCTTTTTTCATCATTTGTTAAGTGGGGGTGACAATGTTGTGAGACCTATCTCCAGTCTACACTCCACATAGACGGCAAAATCATAACCCCTACAATGGACAGATCAGACCATGTCACTCCCCAGCTTAATGTGCTTCATTGGCTCCCTGTGACCTCTAAGACCAAATCTATATTTTTCTGTTAGGCTCTTCAAAATACAGTCCTAGACTGCCTTTCCAAACTTATTATACATTATACACACATTTTTTGGAGCTCAGCAATCCAGCCAAAGTAGCCCATAGGCTGTTCTTCATACAACATGTTCCAAGTCCTGTTGCCATACCTTTTCTGATGCTGTTACCCCATCTCTGGAATGCATCTTCTCTCCATATCTACTTCTTAGCACCTCTGGTTTCCTTCAAATCTCAGCATAAATGAGGCCTTTCTTGATTTGTCCCCCTCCCTGCCCAGCTACTACATCTTCCTAGCTTCCTTTGTAGAAGGGATCATAGACGCCAACAAGTCTAACCTCTGCATTTTACAGTTGAGGAAACTGAGGCACAGAGGTTATGTGATTTCCTTGGGATCGCACTAGTGATCAATGTTTCCCTGATTCCAAATTCAGTGCACTGTATGCTACACAAGTGTGATCTGGCAACGGTCTCTATGTCTGCTTTCTAGGGTCTAGACCAGGGTGTGGAACCTGCGGCCTCAAGGCCACATGTGGCCCTCTAGGTCCTCGGGTGCAGCATTTTGACTGAGTCCACATTTTACAGAGCAAATTCTTTTATTGAGGGGATTTGTTCTGTGAGGTTTGGATTGAGTCAAAGGGCCTCACTTGAGGACCTAGAGGGCCACATGTGGCCTTGAGGCCACAGGTTCCACACCCTGGTCTAGACCCTAGAAAGCAGACATAGAGACCGTTGCCAGATCACACCTGTACAGTATTGTACTGTACAAGTACAAGTACTTGTACTGAATTTGGAATCAGGGAAACACCGATCACTATTGTGATCCCGAGGAAATCACTTAACCTATCCGTTCCTCAGTTTCCTCAAATGTAAAATGCAGAAGTTAGACTTAGAGATGGCCTCCATGATCCTTTCTAGCTCTAAATCCATATGCCTATGAGACTTTACAGCTTGGCAGGACTTTCCAGAGCTTGTTTTCTCTTGGCAAATGCTTCAGAAACCTAGGGCCACCTTCATGTCATGATGAAAAGTTGGAAAAGAGCCTTGGGGTAGGGGGGCTTATAAAAGGGATTTATTGCAGTAAGTTTCAGATTTATAGCAGGAAGGATTTCAAGGCCAGTTGTATCAGCAGCTGCAGTGCATGAGTGTGTGTGTGTGTGTGTGTGTGTGCGTGTGCGTGTGTGGTTTCCTGATAGCATAAAAGGATAATTGGCATCTGTCCCATGACTGTACTCTCGGGTGCCCCGTGTGCTTTCTGGGAAACTGTTTTTGACCAAAAACAGTATTACCCATCTGTATTACCTACTGCATTGATCAGTGTTTGGATTCTCCCTTGGCTAATCCATCTTGCAAGAGGCAGTGGGGTATAGAACAAAGTGTCCTGGACTTTGAGTGGGGATACTTGGCTTTTCTCCTCTGGCCTAGGACTCCAGGCAAATAGTTTAACATATGTTGAGCATCCTTTTCATCATTTGTAAATGGGAATGATAATGTTGTGGGAACAATCTTTTAGGATTCTTGTGTGGAAAGCATTTGGTAAAGCTTAAAATAGCATATGAATGTGTGCTACTCTTCATGTAGCTGCCAAAATACTCTTCACAAAACATTGGCCCAATCTTGTTCCTGTCCTGTACAAAGGTCTTTAGTATTCCCTGGTGCCCACTGGTAAAAATACAAACTTCTTAGCATGGCATTCAAAATCCTCCATGATCCACCTTCACCTGCTTTTTTAGTCTGATTTTACTCTACGTACCTTTGAAAATATTAAATTTTATTAATGAGTTTTGTTTTACATTGCAAACACTTGCAGATCACTACTATGTCATGAAAGGGCTCTTGTAACAAAGTCAAACAGTTAAGTTAATTAATATTTTAAAATGCATGCAACATTTCATAGCTGTAGCACCCCTCCATTAAAAAAACAAAACTACTTTCTATCCCTCTCACCCCCCCCATTAAAAAAGAAAAGAAAAATAAATTTCTTGGAATAAATATGCATAATGAAGCAAAAAAAAAAATCCTTCAGTGGCTCTACATGAAAATATGGATGTCTCATGCTATACCCTACATCTATCACCTTTCTCTAATGGACAGCATGTTCGGACAGCATTGGTCCTCTTGGACCAATGTATAGCTTTGGTTCTCTCAGAGCATGAGTGGGCATTGTTTTAATCATAAGTAGTTCTTACAGCTTTCAAAGTGTTGTATAAATTCTTCTCCTGGTTCTTCTTACTTGATTGTATATCAGTTCATATAAATCTTTCCATGTCTTTTTAAAATTATTTATTTCCTTATTTCTTGCAGCAGAGTAGTATTCAATCATACCCACATACCACACCTCATACAGCCATTCTTCAATTGATGAACATCTACTTATTTTCCAGGATTTTGATTTTTTTTGCTACCACAAAAAGAAGTGTTGTAAATATTTTTGGATATGAAAGACCTTTTTCTCTTTCTTTAATTTCTTTTGAAGCAGCTACATGGCACAGTAGATAGAGCACTGGGCCTTGAGTATGGAAGACCTGACTTCAAATCCAGCTTCAGACACTAGCTGTGTGACCCTGGTCAGCCACTTAACCTCTGTCTTCCTTAGTTTCCTCAGCTGCAAAATGGGTATAATTAATAGCACCTAACTCCCAGGGTTGTTGTGAGGATCAAATGAGATCACATTTGTAAAGCACTTATTTAACACAGTGCCTGGAACATAGTAGGTGCTTTAAAAATGCTTTCTCCCTCCCTCTCTCCTTTCCTTCCTTTCTTCCTTCTCCGAATGTCTGTAATAGGATATTGCCCTCTGTACTCAAGTAGAAGACTTTGCAAATGGTTGCACAGGGCCTTGCTCAATAGATTTTGGTGAATCTGAATGGAACTGAATTAAAAGTGTGCTATATCGTAACCTCTATGTTCTTTCTTCTCTTCCAGGATCAGAAGCAATGGTGGTCAGGGGTTGTCGGGAGGACGATGCTGAGGACTGCTTTTTTGGTTAATGTTGCATAAAAAGCACAAAGTGTCTCTTGGTGCTGTGCAGACTATTAGGACCTTTCTTTCACCAACGTTACAGGAAACATGTCCAAAAGGAACCGCAACAAGGGCGAAAAGCCTGAAATGGAGATAGAAGCGGTGCAGGCGGCCAATGAAGAGCTTCGGGCTAAGTTGACCAACATTCAGATAGAATTTCAACAGGAGAAGAGTAAGGTGAGAATGGTACTTAAATATTTGGGTTTCAAGGGAGAAAAATTCCTTATTGATCTTTAAATGGACAATGGAAAATGAATATCTCTCTAGAACATTAGGAACAAAAACCACAGGCCTCAGCTCTGGAGTATAGTCGTTTGGGGTCTGCTTGGTTCTAGCCTAACCTATCCCTTCTCCTTTTCTTCTTCTTCTTCCTTCACCTTAGCAACATAGAATAGAGGACCTTGGATCTCAATCTTAAAGGTCATTTGCCCACGCCCTCCATTTTGGAGGAAAAGAAACTGAGTCCCAGGGAGACTAAGTGACTTGCCCCAAGGTCCCACGGTAGCCATGCTAGAATTTGTGAAAGGCAATGCAGTACAATGGATTTTGGAGCCAGAGAATCAGGGTTCAAATCTCCATTCTGTCACTACCTGGATAGCCTTGTCAAATCACTTAAATTCTCTGGGCCTCAGTTACCTCCCCTGTAAAAGGATGGGTTTTGACCAGATGGCCTCTAAGGTTCATACTAGTTCTAAATCTGAGACCATGTGAACTTAGGTCTCATGATTTCGGGTTCAGAAATCTTTTCACTGGACCACACTGTCTTTCCTTTCTCTCTCATTGTTCTCTTTGTCCTACTCTGCTTGTATTCAACACTACGTTATTCTAACTCTATTCTATTCCTCTCAAGCTCAAACCCTAATCAGATCTGTCGGGTACTCTCCAGGATGAGGGAACACAAATCTAACAAATATCAAAATTAAGGATTTTCAGCCACTTGTTATTAACTCATAGATTCTCTCTTTGAATGAGAGATAGTGACATTTTGTTCTCTAGCCAGGTTCAGGTTTAGGATTTGGCTCAGAGAATCCACTTTGTGAAGTGGTTAGTTCAGATCTGACCTTGTAGGAAAATTCTAATTTCCAGTGAGTTTAACAGAAATGTTTATTGACGTATAATAAAAACACAAGTATCACTTTTATAACCATCTCTCATAGTTTATTAATCATCCTTTTGTCTATTAATGCCTTAAAACTTTGTTAATACCTGGTTGGTCTAACTCATAATATTTTACTGTTTGTTAATATAAAACTCAGACTGCCACGTTTGATTGGTGCCCTCATAAACACAAGGCAATGGCAATCACTTTATTACCAGCTCTTTGGCTGAATTTTCTTGTACCGTAAATGTAGCTAAATATTTTATCTGTATTTAAAATGGCTTAGGGGTACATCATGAAAGTTAATGGATCTTGCAAGCAGTAGACTGCTGTTTTTATAAAAAATATGAATTCAAATACATTAGGAGAGAAGGAGACTTCCAGGAATATATTGGAGTTTATAGTGTGTATATATAAGGTAGTAGAGGGTAATATTATGCAATAAAAAGAAAAAAAAATCAAGGCCCGGTCATTTCATCAAAATGGATCTGCCCTTAATTGGTGCAGACCCTTAGTTTTAATGTGTCACCATGGACAGAAAAATTTATCATTAGGTAGGCACTCTTCTTTTGCTGAGCTGCTGAATCCATTAAGGGTTAGCCTTGGACAACAGGCAAAATTTGAATATCCCTGGGCCATGTTGAAAACCCTTCAAGTTTGGTAGTGCTTATTGGAGTTTGACAATAATTTAGGGCTACTTCTATCATAGCAAGGCTTCAGATCAGGATGCTAATAAAAGAATACAAAGAAAATGATTCTGATAATAATCATCAGGATTTACTAAACATTTTAGTAAAGTATTTTCCATACCCCAACTCTGAGGTAGGTATTAGAAATCTAATGCTTATTTTATAGAAGGAAAAACTGAAGTTTAGGGAATTGAAATGACATCCACAGGTCTCATGGGAAGTAAGCACAAGAGTTTTGGGATAAGTCTTCTGGCTGTTGGTTCAATGTTTTTTCTGCCAAACTATGCTCCACTTTTTATTATGCCATACTTTAGAGGTACAATGGAAATAGTACCTCTGCTGGTTTGGCAGAATTTGCCATAAAATGATAAAGTGTTTCAGTTAGAAAACTATGAAGGAGTAATGTATCTTCTGTTCAACTGATCTACTTGGTGTTTTCCGTTGATTTCTTACTAATTTTCTTCTAGTTCATTTCCATTTTATAAGGTGCAGAGAGATAATTTAAGAATTATTTCACTCCCAAAAGAAACCAAAATCCTGACTACCACGTTTAAATAAATCATAAAAGAAAATTGTCAAGAAGTATTGGAGCCAGAAGGCATAGAAGAGACAGTCATGATAAGTCACTACCAAAGAGAAACTGCAAATATAACACACTCAGAGATGTTATTTATAAGCTAAAAAGCTTCAAGGTTGAATATATATTGTAAGAAGCTAAGAACAAACTAATATCATGCTAGAGAGAATCACATAGGGTTATGAAGTAATTATGAGAAAGGAAATGACTAGTATGTAGCAAAGGCAGGATTTAAGCCAAGGTCTTCTATCTCCAGAGCCAATGTGGTTAACTTAAATATATTTTTAAACATTTTATTGATATCTTGTTTTTATATACCTTCTCTTCTCCTACCCAGTGAGCCTTCCCTATAACAAAATAAAGAGAAAAAGCAATTCAGCAAAACTAATCAACACATCAACCAAATCTGACTGTATATCCAATGTTTCACACCCTTCTTAGCCTCCCCTCATCCCCACAAAGCAATGAAGGATGTACATTTTTTCATCACTAACTAAACTTGGCACCTATAATTACACAATGTTCAGTTGTGGGATTTGGGGTTCTTTCCTTTTTACATTCTTATAGTGATTGTATTGTTTTACTGATTCTGCTTATTTCACTCTGCCTAAGTTTGTGTTTCTTTATTTCTTTGTGTTCATCATATTCATAATTTCTTACATTGCAATAATATTCCACTGCAGTCATATACGGTAGTTTATTAGTCATTCTCAAAGACAACCTGTTTTGTTTTGTTACCACAGAGAGAGCTACTATGAATATTTTTCTTTATGTGGGACGTGTTTTTCTATGTTTGACCTCCTTGGGATATATAACTAGCATTAGGATGTATTGGTCTGTGGGTATAGACATTTTAGTCATTGTATTACAGAGTTCCAAATTATTTCCCAGAATTTTTGGACTAGACAACTCCACCAACAGTATATTACTATGCTTGTCTTGGTACATTCTCTCCTACATGTGTTTCTTTTTTTAAAAAATGTTTTATTGACATTTAATTTTACACCATTGCTATGTAAGTTATATGTTTAATATTTCTAACTTCCTATATTTATTTATGATTTTTGTGCCCCAATGTGTGGCCAATTTTTGTAAAGGCTCCATGAAGTCAATGAATCTGTTTAAACTACTTAAGATTCCTGTTCACTAATTGTCAAAAGTTGATTGTATTTTTTCCAATATTTTGTTCAAATTTTTTAGTTCCTCTATCTTTATCATTCTCTTACATTTGTTCAAGCTTGAAAGAAGCCAATTTAATTCCCTAGCAGTTATGGTCTTAGTATGTTGATTCTCCTTTTAGCTTTTATATTAAGTATTTAGATACTATGCTATTTGGTGTATATTTAGTAAATTTTGATATTATTTCATTATCTGTGGTGTTTTTACATAGTAGTTTTCATCTTTGTTTCTCTTAAGCAAATGTAATTTTAGTGTGACTTTGTCTGATATTCTTAATTACCATTCTTACTTATTTGGATTCAGCTGCAGCATAAATAAATTCTACTCCAACTCCTAATACTGACAATAAAATTGTCTCTTAAGTATTTTCCTTGTGTATGACAACTTTTTGGATTTTGTTTTCTAATGCATTCTGATACCCTTCTCCTTTTATTAGTGAAGGCAAGCCAACTTATATTTGATTCATATTAAATCTTATTATAATATGTTTGTTTCACCCTCTCCCATCAAAGAACAACAACAACAACAACAGAGTGGAGTAAAATGAAACCAGCCCTAGGCATCTATAGTTTGTACAGCTTAGAACAATCAAACCCAATTTTCTTTGCTTTCTTTCATTGTATAAACCCAAATCGCTAATCCTTGTCCTATTGTCCCCTTTCCTCACCATCTTCCAGGAACCATAGTTTATTTTGGTTGTGGACAACCTCCTTAAATATATCCTTCCTCTTTTCCATGTCCCAAGTCAATTACTAGGTAATTTATTATAATCCAAGCACTGTAATCTTTTACTTAAATCTTATCTTGGCCATCCCAGATATATATGAAGTTCATGAGCTTGCCATTTCTCTTATGGCTACTTGTAATTTTGAATATCTCCTGTGGCACTTATGTTACAAGGAAAAGTAAATTCCATCTTCATTCTCTTTCCTTTCCCCTACCTTTTTCAATATTCAAGCTCATAGTTTGTCTACCTTCATTCCTTTATGGATTCTTAGAGATAGAGGAATAATAGTATCTTCTTTCACTTTGTAAAATAAGGAAATTTGAATAAATTGAAAGAGCCAAGTCATAATCAAGGGAATTTGTTTTGCCTACAATATTTATTTTTCAAAGATCACCTAGTTCTGTTTTTTTTCCAATAGGGATATTTAGATATCATTTAATCTATGAAAAGCTCACTTTTATTGTCCTCTAGCACTTTGTAGAAGTGCTTTGTAGAAAAACCTGTTCTTGGACATAAGATTTTTCCTTCATTGTTTGAATCTGCCTATACTTCTTTAGTTTGTGATCCAGGTATTCTGAACATGCATGCATGCACACATGCACACACACACACTTTTCCTTTGACTTAGCAGTTCTGTAGTTTACCAATCACATTTCTCAATATCTTATACGTAAGGTTTTACTTTACCAGTGACTTATCAGTTCTTTGTCTTCTGATTTCAATTCTTCTTGGCAATTTTCTTTTTGAATTGAAAATACATTGAAATATTTTATTGAATATTGTATTTTATTCAATACATTGAAATAAGATAGTCAAGATTTTTCTTTTATTTTGCCTTTTGGAGTCTAGTGATTCTTCAGTTATCTCCCTGCACCCTTCTCCAGATAATTTACTTTTGATAGTAGA